TGGAAGTTAGAGTATAGATTTGCTTTGTGGAAAAGATAGAATTTGGCTAAAGTATACTGGCTTCATGAAAGACGAATGCAACAGTTAGAATATGGAAATGGCTGCCTGAGTTAGGGTGTGTATGAATTTATATAAATATATATATATATATATGTCAGGACCATTCACCATGTTCTCCAAGCTGTGTTGCATTTTGTTGTTCTTCTCCTAGCGGTTCTTGTTGGTTTTTTCTGTACTGTACCGTAATTTTTATTGTATTGCCCATATTGTACTGTGCGGTACGTCAATCAGGCGTACTGTACTGTACGCATTCCAAAGCACACAGCCATTGCAGAAACCACAATCGTTTATTTTCATCATCAACTCACATACTTTACACACATATAATATATACATATATATATATTATAATGTTCATTGATATTCTAACTGACCCTAGGTTTTTGGTATTCTAACTGCAGGTTTTCGGGTATGAATGTGTTTCCTAAAAAGTCAATTCATACCAATGAAACTGTTACATTTGAACCCTAAATGTCATCACTTACTCTATCTATCTATCCATCCATCCATCCATCCATCTTCATGGGTTAGGCTCCAGTCATCCGACATATGGAAAGACAACCAAATGTACATCACAAATGGTCGATTATTTTCCAAAGGGGAAAGCATTGAAAGTACGGCTGTTTTTCATATCAAACTGTTTTTTTTCCCACCTACCAGCTGGGGGTCTCTAGATTTTAACCAAACATCCCAGATGCCCGGACACAGACACGGACCTGGACACAGCTATCGCGGCCAGCTCTTTGGTCCCCACCGAAGCCGAACCCTGTACCAGATAGAATGGCAGATATGATGATTATTATGTCAGATAGCATGTCAGAGTATATACTATAAATATATATATATATACCAAGTGGGGATCACTCCGAAATGCTTATTGGAGGCTAAACCGCAAGTGTGTTGGTGGATTTTTTTCATTGTTCTGGTTAAATCTCCATTCTGAAATCCATTTTGAGGAACCTCTCTGAGAGGTTAGTTCACTCTTCAAGCCAACATGAATGTAGATGCATGGATCATTTTCCAGGACACGGACTTCCATTTTCACCATAGTGATAGGGCCCCACATCCCAACTGATGAGGATTAATATCTTATTACATTCCAATCATGTTTATCACCCCAACTGCACCGGCAAGCTGTTTATACATCCTATGATATCCCCATGTTTGATCATTATTGATCTGCTTGGTGGTTTGGGACATGGCTTTTATTTTCCCATATATTGGGAATGTCATCATCCCAACTGACTTTCATATTTTTCTCAGAGGGGTAGCTATACCACCAACCAGATGATACCAGTCATTGTACTATAACTAACCATAACCATTATCAACTGGTTAATCGAACTATCATGATGCATCCGTTGATAGTGGTTAGTAGTGGTTAACCATTGGTGCAACGATCATGTCCCCATTCTTTCCCATCGAACCCCAGATGGAAAGCTTGGACATCTGGATGGAGATGAATAAAAAGTCGGTACCATCCTGGAAACGCTAATCGATCCGCACACTTTTTGTTTGGGGGTTACTATTGCTCTATATATATATATTTGGGTTAAACCCCAAAAAGTTTGCTATGAAAAATGCCGCATAGTAATACTTGAGTTACCATGTTTTACCTATTAAAACTGGTGAAGTTCCACTCTTTGTATGTCTATCGGACCGGGTAAGCCATATCTATAAACACCCGACCAGGTCCTTCGGGTCCTTCGGGTCCTTCGGGCGCGTTTCGGCCAGGGCCGGCCTTGGAGTTTCTCGGCGATAGCACTACCATCTGGAATTTGATAAGCACTACCATCTGGAATTTGACATAGCCATGGAAAATGGCCGGCCCAATCGAAATAGATGGTTTACCGTTCTTAAAAATGGTGATTCTCCATGGCAATGTTAAATAACCAGATGGTAATGTGGTTAAAACAATGCCATAACCCATCCCCAAAATCACCATAAAAAGGTGGTATTAACCATTCCCACATGGCTAGTTTTTTTTGCTTTAACCGCATTACTGCTAGTTTAACCCATAGTATTCCTTATATTAAAACTGATTGTAATAAGTGGCACTCATAGTAATACCTCTTGCTATACTTAGAGTGATATTTCGCAATAGTTATGGTTGTAGTACTTTGTTTTGTTTTAACGTTGCGAACCATACATATGATTATATATTTATGAGTAGTATTTTAGCCAATAACTATAAGACTTTGCTATTAGAAGTTGATTGGTTGATTCATTACTGCATGGGGTTTCAGACACAATTGATAGGGTTTGGGCCAGTAGAAGCAGGGATAAAATCCAGAAATTATGACTATGGTAATGGTGGATTAGTCAAATAATAGAGATATCATCAAGATATTTTTGGGACATGTGACATGAATGTTTAATGTAATCTGTGCCATTGTTCAAGGTACATCAATAATTGTCCCATGAAAAGGGATGGTCATCC